AGAACAATACTTTTTGCTTTCAAATAATCTTCCATCCAAGTACCTCAAAGTACTTTGCAAGCACTAATATACTTTGGCTCACAAAATTGCTGTTTTATAGATGGGGAAACTAATTCACAAAGAGGTTGGTTGATTCGTCCAAGATTGCATGGGAAATCATAGACAAAGCCAGGATTTCTTTCCTCCTGAAAATATATCGAAGTTGACTTCTGATCACTTCTAACCCTTGACCCAGCATGGTGACCCATCATGAATCAGTTCCTTTCAGTAAATTGTAAAATATTTCTGTTTTCCTGGGCTAAATATAGACAGTCAAAAAACCCAAGGCTGAATTGATTCAACCTTCATCAGTTAGTTTAAACTGTGTAGAGTGAACCAATAAGCAAGTGAACAGACATTTACTTTTGATTCTGAAAATACAGCCATATGCCTGCAGTGGCCCAGACCAGAAGCTGTGGGGCTGTAGAGCACACTTTCGTGCTCAGCTGGAACAGAAAGCTTGGACCAAGGTTAGCCTGCCCATCCTGCAAAGGATGGGGGGGCTTATGAGGGATGTACAGAGCATCCTGGGATGCTGTGGGACTGTGAGTTAACTTGAATCTGGAGGGGATCTGGGACAGAAGTTCAATCGACTGATTTAAGCTAAATCAGTTAAGTCTTGTACTACATCCATCCAGGTTTATCATAAACTGGTTTCGGTTGTGCAGCTAAGAGGGAGAAAAACAGAAACTCCTGATTAAAGCTACACATAAAAAGGTTATTCCATATCTTAGAAGAGTTTGATATTCTTATACTAGTTTATGTGTAATTTCTGTCCCTACCCCAGATGTATGGAAACCTCTCCCAGCTCTCTCTCACCCTGTCACTTGGCAGCCCACTTAATGGATCCACACAATGAGTCAAGAGCTTGGAAACCTGGGTTGCCCAGGTTTATCACTCCTTCATTCTTCAGCAGCTCATTCAAAATTAGAATATCAAACTCTTCTAAGATATAGAATAACCTTTTTATGTGTAGCTCTAATCAGGAGTTTCTGTTTTTCTCCCTCTTAGTTGCATAAGAATGTGAGGGGGTGTTGCTCATTCCAAGCTAATGAAGAGAATTTTTTTTAACAAGCAACATTAATTAAACTGTGGAACTCACTGCCACTTAGCAATACATATAACATATGTATACTTATACATATAACAAAAATACTGAGAATTCAAAGAAATAATTATGTCCAAAGATAAACTGAGCAGGATATAAAACCTCAAGTATCAGGGTTTTAAGCCAATTCCTAATTATTAGGGGGTTAGAATGAGTTTTTCCACAGGGACCAGAGTATCCATATTTGCCAGATTTCAGGGCTTTTTGTATATTACTCTGAATTGTCTGGCAGTAGTCTGTCAGACAGGATACAGGACAGTGCATACATAAAACTTTTTAAACTCAAGGCACCTCCTTGTTAGATTAAAGGTAACATACCTTTATGTTAAGGAAAATACCAGCTCCTACTTTTCATTTGATTTTGATTATGGAAAAATAATAGAATAATTCTTCTATTAAGAAGTACCTCAAAAAGACTACAACAGGTCAAACTATTTTTGACACTATGGATAGATACCTATCTGAAATCTCTGGGCTTATTTTGTGAGTCATGTATAAGCTTTTACACACCTAACAGTACCAATAACAGTAAAAACTACACTAACTCACCTGCAGCACTCTTTAAAGTGTATTGCAGCACCCTGTTTGAGAATCTGGTTTGTACAAATAACTGCAAGTCCAAGTGTTGATTTTTGGGGAGGAGAATCATAGAAGATGGAAACATAAATAGCTATTATAGTACATTATACAGATCCATTCCCTGACACTATATAATTTTTCCCTATTGTACCTTTTGTAGTGTTTCATCAGTGCATTTTTAAATATCCCAAACAACAGCATTTTCAGTGCTTCCCTGCGGAGAATATTGCATATTCTAACCATCAGAAATTTCTTTAATATTTAACCTACATTTTCTCTGATTTTTATTCCATTACCTTTATTGTAATTTATACTCCCTGAGACATCATAGCTGATTTGTTCTTTCCTTGGTCCCTAAAGCTACAAGTATTCATACTGTGTTTTCTGCCTTAGATCACACTTTAGACATGATACACATTTAACTCCTTTCACCTCTACTCGTAATTTGCCCTAATGACTTGTGTTGTTCATTTGTGAACTTCCTCTGATTTCTCAGCATTTGCACCTGAATAGCCTATTTACACCAAGAATATTTTGAAAATATGACCAATCTTGTTTTGAATTCTGCTCAAGTTCTGCATTTTGAATGATGATTTGGGAGTTTTATTATACTGTAATATAATATATAAACAATGACACAAACTTACGAAGAGAAAATTCTTTTGCTATTTATTATTTGTAAAATGCTAGACACTGCCTAGTGTGCGGGCCGCCTCCCTATCTCATCCATGTCGCCATGTGCGAGCCGGGAGCAATATGCGGACCCGTTTTTGCGCATGCGGGCTGTGGCCAGCAGCCCGGGCACGCGGGGTCGAAGAAGACCGGTGGCGAGCTAGAATTAGTTACGGACGCGTAATGGTTGATTAAAAGATTGTTTACTTACACCAAAGATGGTCGTGGTGTAGGCTGGACAGTTTTCCAGGCTCATCTCTGCTTAAATCCTCGCTAGAGGACTCCGAAAATTGACCCCGGAGTGGTTGAAGCTCTGCGGGTTCGGCTCGGTAATTGGTCCCAGAGTGGTTGAAGCTCCGCGGGTTCGGTAGTTTCAAAGGAAAGGGATATGTCTTAGGATTGCGCTCGGCGACGGGGAGAGGCTAGAGGCGTTTGGCCCGCGGAGTGGTTGAAGCTCCGTGGGTTCGGTAAATAGGCCCCCGGAGTTGTTAAGACTCCATGGGTTCGGTAAGTCGGCCCTCTATTGCCCTCTTAAGGAGAAGAAAAAGCTGGGTTCGAAGGGATTAGCAGCGCTTAGAAATCTTCATGCTCTTTCTCCCAAACTCCAATTGTTTTCTCTCTCTGTCTCTCTCCAACTTGGGTGGAAACCACCCAAGCTCTTTATACGGCTAGCAAGCCAATCGCTAGCCGCCACATGTGCCTATATTAAGATCGGCCAATAATGTGGCGTGAATCTCAATACAAATGGCGGGAACTCCTTTGCACCGTGCATCACTATGATGCAAAAGAAATGCACCATGCAAAGAAGGCTACAAACGGCGGGAAATCCTCTTCTGCTCGCGGGTTCCCTATTGCAAAAGAAAACTCCACCGTGTAAAGAAGCTGCAATTTGGTGGGAACATAATTTAGCGGTGCCGAAGCACACAAAAACAAAAAACCACAACTTTGGGTTGTGACACCTAGAAGCAGAGAAAGTTATATACTCTACTTTAAAGAGCTTATAGTATAAAAAGGAATAGATCCTACTATTCTGTTCAGTATAATTAGAGGGAAACAGTAATAAAGTGCAGAAAATTCATGTGGAAAAATACATTCATGTTGTTGCATGCACTGATCAAGAATGAATTGCCCCTAAAATAACTGTTTAGAGGTGACTTTAAAAATGGAGGGGGGGAATATAAAGGAAAAAAGTACTCTGGCTGTAATATATGTCGCACAGTACAAACACTGCTATAAAATCATTGCCTGAAAATTGATCAAATAAAAATAGAAGAATGTGCTAACTTTTGATCTTTGCCATATAGATCTAAAGTCATGATCAATTGGTTTCAGTATGTTCTTTGAAATCACATAAGGCTTCATATGTGCCAAGTTTTATATGAATCGCATGATAAGGTCAAGAAAGACAAATTCCAAGGCAGACTTAATATACCCTGCTCATATGTGATACCATATTACCATATGTTGACTATAATGGTGGTTATGTAAATACTGTTCTTGAAAGGCATCCAATCAGTAAAACCTCAGATAAGTAAAAACTACGCTAACATTTTTTAAATTAAATGGGAGCGAGGAAATTTATGGTAAGAAAATTGTAAAATAGAAGGGGCTAGGAGGGCACTCTGTGATCATAAAACTAGAAAGAGAGAATCTTGGATTTAAAGAGAAACTGAATATTTCGAAGGATTTTTTTCTAAATAAAATTATGAATGCCAAAAATTTGTCAGGGCTTTTTCTTGTATAGTTATTACAATAACTTTGGGTGTGAGTTGCCAAAGATAAAGGGGGAAATAAGCCTTGTGCACAGGGAGGTTTTTGCCATCTGCAATGGCCAAAAAATGAAGACATTCACGACACTGAGCATAACTGAATGAGAATGTTTATTCGTAGTTGTGAATATTAAGGATTGATTAAAGGAATACCACTAGAGAGGGCATACAGGAAGAGCAGTTGAAGTAAATTTGAAAAGCTTGACATTAAAAATGATTGCAGTATTGGTGAAACTCCAAACTGTATCAAATAACTGCACTGTTATCACTACACTGCATCCTGCAGCATATGGTGTTCTGGTCCTTTGCACTGCTGTATAGTTTGTCCCTTTTGCTGTTAATCTGTTTTTGCTGTTATGCAAAAAAAACCCCAGAAGTACCCAGTAAAGATTCTATTTTACCAGATCAAGAGTCTAGTTGACAGAGTAACTGAAATGATTAGATATTTTCACATCAGCTAAGCTAAACTTAATGACATTTGGAATAGGGGTATCATTGGGCTTTTGTATTTGCTGATTTATTTCTTGGCTTTTTTGTGCACATTACAAATTAAGTATAGCCACTGAAATGTACTCTCATTTTATATTTCAGATATATTTCATGTAATATATATTATGTATTTATATATATTTTACATTAATATACATGCAGACATACTCTGTAAGTATGGAACCACTAATATCATTTGTAAACAGTCTATAAATAATGCAAGGCTAGTGCATGCTTTACTTGATTTTATTTTGTTTCCTCTTTCCTTCATAAACCATTTTGTTGTGTATCACATTACTGGAATATCATTAATGAGAGTGATTATTACCTTATATCCCCTACAGATCCTGGAAAAACTCTTCCAGAAGCTCTTGATTATTGCAAGGTTTGGTTGCAGACAGTAGCAGGAGAGATGGATGCTAAAAGTGGTATTCCGCCTCCTTTCATCACAGTGCAAATTAAAGATTTTCTCAATGGGCCAGGTAAGTACTATATTTTTAATCTGAATTGATTTCCTATTTTGCTTTCTATATAGAGGTGCTCACAAAGCCTTCATTTCTTTTAAAATTTGCATGCCAGAAAAAATGTTCCTTCATTCTCCGTAAATGTTGAATTGTCCCCCAGGACTTTACTGGATAGAGGCCCAGGGTCAGCAGTCTTTGGTACAGGATCAGTTATAGATTTCAGGCCTGATAAGCAAATTATCTTTCAACACCAGGCATGGAAGCATCATACCTTTAGAAATGTGAGAGTAGAGATTGCCAATAAAAGGCAAAATACGAGCTCTGAGTACTTAACATAGGTATGTATTTTTTAATTTTTTTTGACACTTAAATATTCAAAGGGCTGTTTTAAGTTGCTTTTATACATGTTTGTGGGGTTTTTTAGCCCTGTTTGTTATATTCTTGGTAACCCATGTACATAGCATTGCAAATGGAAAGAGATAATGCAAAAATTTAGTTGACAATTTCACTTTCTAAATAATGTAACTACAAAATAAAATAGCTATTATAAAAATATTTCTTTCTGTCACTACATGGAATATCTAATAAGTGGTAAAAAGATTTCATTAACATTTATTGGAAATATGATATCTTCTGGCATTAGTTTGACCTGGCATTAGCTCGCCCAATGTCTGGATAGATCGGGCACTTCAGTGAGGCTTTTCTGGTGCTTTTATCTAATAGTTAATTGAATTAGTTTTAGATAAAAGCACCAAAAAGTCCCACTGAAATGCACAATCTATACAGCTGCTGTGGAGCCGAGTCCAGCTAATGTGCTGCGTCTTCCAATAAAGCGCATATTTTTCCCACATTTGTTAGCACCCATCCCTTTATCTCTTCCAACTTGTTCTTGTCCCATACTGTCTCTTCTGTAGTCCTGATAGATTCTCTCAGTCCTGTTTTTCCTTGCCTACCCAATTCTAATCTCATTCCTTCAGATTTCTTGCGTAATATCCTACAAGCCAGTTGTAGATTGTACTCTCTGATCAGGACTTATTATGTATAGGCTCCTTTTTAGCCAATCCCCATTTCCCTCACCCAGATCCTCAACCAGTTCATCTCCTTACCCAAGTCTCCCTCTCCTGTGACTATTATTATGGTCTTGGCTCAGCCAACCCTAACTGTCATACCATACCCCAGCTTCTCATGAGATCAGTTTCTCCTTTTTCTGCCTCCTTTGTGCCAGCTGCAGTTTTCAGTGGCATGTAGTTTGGCCAAATTGGGATGTATTTTTACAGGGATAGCACAAGGCACATCTTTGATGCACTGAGTCCCTGCTGTATTTCAACTTTCTGCTCTGAAGTATGATGCTGTTCAAAGAAAACATCACCACAGTGATTGAACATGGACAGAACCCTGTTGGGTTCTCAAAAATGGTTGAACCATTTTGGCTGAAGTTTAAAAAAAAAAGCAGTCTGAGTTAGAATTTCAGCCCAAGTCGTTAAAACTTATAAAAAAGGTTATAAGAAAAGGAAAGTAAATAGAGCCTGATATTGGAAAGTGGTATATAACCTTCCTGATAATAAATGTCATGTTATTACTTTTAATTATATCCATCTCATCAAGCAAATAATCCTTGTGATTTAGTTGTAATGGCACCTGATCAAATGCCTACACATCTCTTCCTCTGAATATAAACAGACTCTGGAGGGGAACTCTATAAATAGAATTATTTTCAAATAGTTTCAGTTTTCCATTGTTTAAATAATGGGTGTCAAAATTACCTACACCCCCAGGCTGTATCTCGGGGTGGGTGAAAAAAGGCCCATGGGGTAGATCTGGCCCATGGAGGGACTTTGTCCAGCCTGCAGCGGGTCTTTCAGTTCCACCTGGCCCAGGCACTGTCCAGCCCATGATGCATTCCACTGCCCCAAGGTGCACAACAGGGCTGGGGCAGCTCCACAGCTGGACTCCATTTCTAGGCAGCCCAGGCAGCAGTGGCTCCTTCCAGCTGCTGCTGGCCTCAGCCTCATGGAGATTGGTGGTAGCCTCTGCCTGGCTATCACCACCACTGCTCATTGTAGGTAGGCCAGTGCAGAGCAGGCACAGGGTAGGCCAGGGCCAGGGCAATGTGTGTGGGACCTGGCTGGTCTGGAGCTAGTCCACTCTGGCTGGGGCAAGTCCATAGCAGGCATGGGATGGGCCAGGGCCAGAGTCAGGGATGAGGTTGTGTGCTCAGCTGCTGCTGGGCACCAGTGGTGGTGAAGAGCCACAGGGCATGTAGGCTGCAGGCTGTTGCAGGGGAGGGGTGGGGGTGCTGACCAGCCTGCAACAGCTCCCCAAAACTGCCTGTGTGGCCCACAGGCCCAAATAATTGCCAATCCCTGCTGTATCTGGACCTCAGACCTGATTGCCAGACCCACACTGCAAGGAGCCTCATGAGTCGGATCTGGACCCATTAGTAGGACAAGCAACAGTGGTGAGGCGAGTGGTGGCACAGGGATTAACACCGCCCTTGCTACTCTCCTGCCACTGACACATGTGTCTATCAGGACTCCATAGCTGGGAATTCATTAGCAAGTCATCCTCCTGAATTTATGGCCTGTCTGAGAGCCCTGCAGTCCAAGTAAAATGGCCAAGGGCCATATGTTGGGGACACATTGTTTAAAAGTTCTTCAGTTTTCTTTTGTAGATGATAAATATGTCTACCCCATCTGCAGACAATGCAAGCAGGCCTTATATCAGTATCCAAACTTCCTGGGGTTGTGGCTTTAGGTCAACAACCATAAAGCAATGTAAACCTGAGGCCATTGACACACATTAAATTAAAGGCATGATTGTATCAAATGTGCAATCCCAGTCCTACCTCATACCTCATGTGCCATACATATTTTGGCCATATCTACTATAGGTTCATGGATCAGATCCTAGTCGCACCATATTGCTGGCACAGGGGGCTCCATATCACTGGAAAATGGTAGGTTTGGCTTCCGTATGCTCCCCTGGGTAGGAGCCCCAATCAGCTGAGCAGCACTTCCAGCCTCAGGGTGTTCACCAGAGTCTTGACGGGCTCTGCTGTGCTCTTAAGGCTGGGAATGCTGACCACGTGTTCAATTTAATCCGGGATGGGAACCAGCCACAAAGTTATTAGACATATTTTGTGAGATAACTTCATGACTTGTTCCTTGTTTTATCACACCATTAATTGAATGAACATGTGGCCAGGTCAGTGTTTAAGACTTGATTAACCAGGTAATCATGTGTTAAGTGTAGCATCTGTCAGGGGCCTTAAACTAAGTTTTATAGAGCTTGGCTAATTCTAGGGTTTTCCTACAGGATATCTTTTGCCATTTCCTACAGGACATCTTAGAGCCATTCCTTTTTTTCATCTGCTTGGTACTAATGGGACCAATCTCACAAGTGTGACTCAGCAATAATACCCTGAATCTTAACATAGTGTTGTCCTGAGTCAACCCAAAAAATAGGTCTGCCTTCTTGTACAAGGCTTTATAATCTATACTCATTACAAATGAGAGGTTTGTTAAATCATATAATCCTCCTTAAGAACTATTCAACTGTATTAACAGCTTTGATTAGATTGATTGACTGGTTGATTAGATTGGCTGGATCATCATATTCAATGAATAGTCATCAACTGTTCAATGTCTAGAAGGAGGTATCAAGTAGGGCTTCTCAGGGGTCTGTCCTGGTCTAGTCTTGTTTAATGTCTTCATTAATTATTTGGATAATGGGATCAAGTGCATACTTAGCAAATCTGGGGATGACACTGAGGTGGGTGCAGTTGCAGGTACTCCAGAAAATAGGGCTAGCATCCAGAATTACCTGGATAGACTGGAGAAGCAGTTCACTATCAATCAGATTAGATCATTTTTCCTTAGAAATATATTTTTGGAAAGGTGAGATTTGCTTTCCAGCTTAGATAACCATTCATGCCTCTGTTTTGTGATGCAAACTACAGCTGTTAACAAACAGTCTGTGCATGGTTCCCAGTATTTGCTATTTTAGATAAAATGATACTTACTGTAAACAGTTTGTCAGCTAAAGTAGATAAGTAGATGTTGTTCCCTAGAAAAATTGTATTCTTCCACCACACAGGAAGCCAGATTGTCACTCTCTATTAACTTAAAGATCAAAAAACTACAGCAAGTAGCTAGACTTGAAAACCACTAATTAAATGGGAATAACAAGATACATTAATGCACTTCTTGCCACATGAGTTGATTATTTTGTACATTTTTGGCAACTAAAGAAAAATAATATTTCTTCCAGATTTTAGGTAATAGGATCCTAAGAGGAATAAGCATTCATCACTGAGCCTGTGGGAACAGACCTTAACTTTACTCCCAAAACATGAACTAAAGAACAGTTCTTTTCCTTTTTACAGTAACTAATTAGTTACAAATTTTTTAACTTCTGCTACGTTAAGATGCACAACCATCTCTTTCATATTAAATCTAGTATATTTATTTCTTCACATGTAGATACAGCCACACTGTTAGTTACTTTTGATGTCGAATCTCCTTAACCAACAACGAAAAAGATGACCACTTTGTTTAATTAGTACAATATTTTGTTATCTTTCCCTA